GGATTTAGATCAGGCTTTAGTACAATGGACTACATACAGACATTAGAACAGGTTATAGAAAAGTACAGAGAATATAATAGACCCCTGTATGTAGCCTTCATTGACTACAGCAAAGCTTTTGACAGTATCAGTCACTGTGTTCAATCTGGAACGCATTACAACAATAAAAAATTAATTCTAAATACATCAATATCTTGAAATATATTTATAAAAAAGCACGACCAGAATAAAATTAAAAAATAGAGGAAAAAAATAAACATAGAACGAGGCGTCAGGCAAGGAGATCCTCTATCCCGAAAACTCTTTATAGCAGTACTTGAAAGTATTTTTCAAAAACTAGAATGGAAAAACAGAGGAGTGTACATCAACTGACACTATTTAAACCATCTGAGGTACGCTGATGACATTTTTGTAATAGCTGAAACCGCCAAATACCTACAGGAAATGATCACACCACTTGACTGCGAAAGCTCCTAAATCGGCCTGGAAATAAATGCAGGTAAAACTAAGATAATAACCAACAATCGTGAACGCCCGATAGCGATAAAAGGCAACAGTATAGAATATGTCAGTGAATACATCTACTTGCGTAAACACATTTCATTTAAAACGTCAAGCAATGAAGAAGAAGTAACAAGAAGAATTAACGCAACTTGGAAGAAATTTTGGGCATTAAGAGAAATCCTAAAAGGGAACTACAACTTGCACATGAAAAGGACAATATTTGACACATGCTTATTACCCTGCTTGTTGTAAAGCTGTCAAACTTGGGTATTCACAAACAAAATTAAACAAAAAATCAAATGCAGTCAAACAGCAATGGAAAGAAGCATGTTGGGAATTAGAAGAATACATAAAATTAAGAACCAAGTTATTCGTCAAAAAACTTAACTTACAGATGCCTTCAAGCACGCACTCTCATTAAATTGCAGATGCGCCGGGTACATCACATGATACCCAGATAGAAGATGGACCATTGAAGCCACACGGTGGAAAGGACCAAAGGGGAAAAGGAATGTCGGTCGATAATTAAGACGGTGGGCTGATGACATAACATACGTCGCAGGAAACGACTGGATGAAGTTAGGTAAGGATAGTGAGTCGTGGAAAAGGATGGAGGAGGCCTCTACCCAAACAGGGGTCCATATCTCATAAACAGTACTAACATTAATTATAAGTATTTATTTCTTAATTTTAAGCTATAATTTACTAACAAATACAGGAATGTAAAAAGAAAATGAAGATATGGAATAAATGGCTTTATTATGATTATTATTATAATTCAACTCTTCCATTATCTTCCGTCATTGTTAAGTTATGAAAGGAAACATTTTGTCTAAGATAAATATATTCGTTATCATAAAATTGTTGGTTGTGAACGTGTACAGAAATTTTTGTGCTATTTGTCAATATACAAGTTTTATCTATGTTAATTTGTAGGCCACATTTTCTGCTTTCTATGTCTAAAGACTGAACCATATATATAAGATCTTTGTGATTTTCGCTCAATACGATAATGTCGTCTGCAAAACGTAGATGTCTCAAAGTCTCTCCGTTAATGTTAATGTCTCATCTGCCCAGTCAAGTTTTGAAAAAATGTATTCTAATAAACAAGTAAATAGATTAGGTGAGATCGGGTCTCCCTGCCTCTATTGATGTTAAATGGCTGTCCTGGTCTCTCCATTCTTATTGCTCCTCTAGTTGGAATATATATTTCATCAGTATTCTTATATATTGGAAATGTTTTCCGTGAGATTTCAATCCCAACCAAAGTTAATCATGGTCGAAAGCTTTTGAGTAATCAATAAAAGCGATGTAAAAAGTTTTGTTATATTTTTGATATCAATCCATTATCTGAGTAAAAACAAAGATGTGATCCATTGTAGAGAATTTGGGATGAAAACCAGCTTGTTATTTCGGCTACTTGTAGTCTAGTTTTGTTTTGAGTCTGTTAAGCAATATGCTTGTGAAAACTTTATACATTGTTTGCAATAGGGATATACGTCTGTAGTTGTTGATTTTATTGAATTTATTGTATATATTTTGTTGAATTGATTACCTTTTGTTATACAATAAAATGATAGTGGAGTTGGTTCAATCTTCTGGTATTTGACTGAAGTCGTGTATTTCGTTAAAAATATTTATTAACATCGGTGCGATGGGTTCTTTTATCGCTTTTAGAACATCAGTTGAAATACTATCTTCTCCTAAAATTTTTGCACTTTAAAATTTTTTTATGGCATCACTCATCTCGCACGGTAGTAGTGGCGAAATAAGATCTGTTATGTCCTCATTACAACCGTTATTAATTAATTCTTCCGTAATGTTATTGTTGACGTTATGAATTTTAGATAAGCCTTAATAAAAATCAGTAGCTATTTTAAAAGGTTTTCTCTATTTGTAGTTTTTTCACTATCATATGCTTTTAGTGACGTAACCCACTCTTTGGATAAAGTGAGTCGTTTTTGTGCATTTTAGTAGAGCATTTATGTAATAAATCTTCATCTAATAATTTTAAGTGGTAGTTTAAATTTTATTTTATTAATATTTTATTTTTATTTTGAGGTAAATTTTGGGCAATATTTTTTTCATTGGTCTTTTTTCTTTAATTTTCAGTTTTGTTCTTTTTTAATGAGATCTTTTATATCTGGACAAAAGTGGAACTTTTCTTTACGTATTTTCGGCAACTTTTATACATTCTTTTATTATATTAGTCAAGTTTCTATAGTTTTCTTGCAATTTTGTTTTACCCTTTAGTATCAATGAATAACTCTGTAATAATACCTTTAAAGAATTCTTTTTCACTTGATGTTAACTATCTTTTAGGAGTACAAAATTTTTTCCTTTCCATTTTTACTTTAGTTTTAATGTTGACGCATCCACATAAAAGTCTGTAGTCTGATGGATAGGTTGTATTTATTATTTCTAGATTTGTCATTTCTCTTACAATTTTTGTAAGAAGGAAGTCAACTTTGATACGGGTTCTGCTATTAGGTAACATCCATTCTATCTATTACTTAATTTTTTTCTTGAAATATTATGTACCACTTATTTTAAATTGATTCTCTAAGCAAAATTGAATTAGTAACTCACCTCGTTCATTTCTGTCACCAAATCCCCAAGGTCCCATACTATTTTTTTCTTGGGGCGTTGGTTGTCCAATTTTGACATCAAAATAGTATGTCTGAGTAAAAGAGTTGAATTTCACTTTCTTTAGCCTTGTATATATATATATATATTTATATTATATACACATGTGTATAATAATGAAATCTGTCAAATATTACACCTCATTTTTATGTAGCTTGGCCTAGGTAGCAAAAAGGTAGTGGATGCCCTCATTGATAATCGAGTGCCAGACTTATCTCAACTTTGATGCTGCTGTTAACGACTATCTGGGTATTTTGTCTGGTATTACATAGTAATATCATCATTTTATATCTGGTGTAAGTTGTCTGGTGAGATAATAATAACAACATCTATCGGAAGCCGTTGGTATCGGAATCTGTGTGTTTTTACAGATTTTATCGCGGACAACTTATTTAATATTTCCGACGTTTCGAGTACTTTACAGCACCCATGGTCACGGAAGTGACTGAGGTGTTCAGCGTCCCAGTGTCAAAGATAACCAAGGTTACCTTAAGAATAAAATTACACAACGAAACAAAAGAAAAACGTCCAAAATAAAAAATAATTTAATATACGCGATAAAATTCTTTAAAAACAGCTTTATTCAAAAGTAAATTCATTAGTTAATCCGATACATAAATATAAATGTGACTTACAAAAATAAAATTAACAATCTTCCATTTAAAAATTCCTTGACTAATGTCCCCTGAGCTAGACATTGAATAGAATAAGCATATTGTCATGTATATAGGTCAGTAACCATCAGATCCTTCGGGTTATCATTCGGGAACGGCAATATATACAACCGAGTCTTTGAAATCTAACAGACTAACTAGTTCTAAAGCAAATAATAAGGGTATTGCATTGAAGTAATATGACGTACTACGTACTAAAAGACAGATGTCGAGACTTGGTTGTATGAATGTAGAAGTAAGGAGTACAGACTGTGTATTAAAACGTGTCCGTAGAAAACCGTTAAATAAGGTTGGCGCCACTATAACTACGGGGTAAATTTTAAAGAACGCGCCGAAAAATATTAGTGGAATAGACGACTTTTTTGAATTTATATTTACTAAATAAAATTATTTTAGATTTTAGAGCTACTGAGCAGTTTAGCAGCACACTTCACGCCGTCGACAACTGCTAAGTTCATTTCATGTAGCTGTTACCTGTAGCTACTCCAGCACTGTTGTAGGGAGTTTTTGAACTGTTATTTGTTGCTTACACTTTTTCAACTATTCTCCTATGAGAGATTGTTCTTCTTACTTCTACACTCCATACTTGGTTGTTTACAACACGCATCAAAGCCCTCAAACTCACTTATTCTGTGCCATAAAAAGATACTCTGTGCTTCCGACCACGCGTTTCACACTGCTGCACATATTTTTTTCAATAGGATACTATGATGTCTGATTTGGAATACAGTGTTTCTACTGTAAATTGTTAGAACTTGACTATTAATTAGAATATTATATTCAAATGTAAGCGATCACGGTGAAATGCGTTTCCAAGAACACGACGGTGAAGAAAAACATTGTGAGGAAACCTGCATATCAGAGAAATAAAAAAATATACTCCGATGTCATTTTTGTAAAGACAAATACATACACTTGTAGATATTTAATACCTCCTGCGGAGTTGATAGTTAACTGATTATTCGAAAGTTCTATATTCTTTCTTTTATTTCTAGTAATATTACACATTATCTTATATCCACACTGCAGCGATTGATGCTGGAGCCTAGAGTTCGGCCTACGTGCTCGTTTGTCTTCTTCTTCTTATCCACCCACTTCTCGTCTTCTTCTTATCCTCTCCTCCTCTTCTTCATTTTGTTTGTATTACAAAAATCTTATTATATTAGCTATACTTACGGTAGCGATTTCGGCACAGTACATTGGCAATAAGGTGAACTGCATGCCGAGGGCGATACCCCAGAATATTCTGCCGCCGTAAAGGAATCCTACGTTGGTTGCAGTTGTCACGAGGATCCAACCCACAAGCTGTGAAAATGCGGCACAAAGGAGACCCCATTTGCGTCCAATCTTCGAAGCCGCTATACCACCAATGAGAGAACCTATTGTGATCGGGAAACAAGAATAGATAATTAGGAATAATTAAAAAAATAATTTTAATTATCACTAATTAATAAGAATTAAGATATTGATTTATCTTAAGGTTAGTGAATTTTAAACGTTCAAACACAGTTATGGTTACTATAAAGTAAAATGCACTTTTCTACTTTTAAGAATCCGTATCTGAAAATAAAAAAAACGGAAACCTTAGTTTAAAGAAGTGATCCTAACTTCGTTATCCCTTAGCCCGTCTGTTAAAATCCTTTTGCGCGGAAACGGGTATCAAGTTTAAATTAATATCAAATATTCAGATGCAGGGTCTACTGCAAGTGTAATAATAATAATAATAATAAGGCATAGAGAAGTGTCGACCCCATCGCCCGCTGACGTAACAGTTAAGTGACAGAACTACTATGTCAGCGCAGTCAGTCAGCGCCTTGCTAAGAGATGTGAGCGCCGTTCCTTGACAGAACTGAGGGTGCAAAGCACGTTTATGCTTAAGGCCGTAAAAAGTATCGGTGCTGGGCCTGGGCGTCTCCCGTTAATTGACGCCCATAAATAAATGGATGATATATAATCAAAGAGTGCGTATAAGGCCTGGGAGTTACAGGGAGCATCTGGAGCTGGCGCTGGACGCGACAGCATGCGGGCCGCCAGCTGAGCGTGAAGTGCTGCACGATCACCTAGCAGCCACTCAAATCCATCATCCCCAACAGGTGACTTGGTGTCAGCAGGATCCTCTCGTACTTGACAAGTGGCCTCCACTACTCGTGGAGTACTCTGCATGCGGTGGAAAAAATATGAACTCAAACGCATTGCGGGCATACTATAGGGCAAAATGGAAAGAAACTGCATGGATAGCGTATCGGGTTCAGATGCGTTGCTTTCTTGCTGAGGTGGAGTCGTTTATTTCCGTCACAGAGCAAAGCCTGACAGACCGAGCTCGGTACATCATACGCCCAAAAGATTTGAGGATTTCGAACTTAAACGACTACGGCGTAAGGCTATTCCCACATCAAATTGATCAGCTATGGCTTTTTTTTTTAACATGGGGAAATGCCTACGCATACCCGCCTCGCGGGGGCAAGGACGGGTTATGTCGGACTCGCACCGACTAAAACCCCATGGTGTTCCACCTTCGTCGCATACGTGTCAGGGCTACGGGAACGCTTTCGCACACTTCCGCGGCCCTACCAGCGACTGCCGCCCCATGGCAGCACCTCCTCGGGAGAGGAATATTCCTCCCCGTTCTCCTTCCCAAGTAAGGCGCACCAGAACACATGGCACGCCTTCCTCCACGGCCTCCAATTGCATCTGCGCAACAGACGCCCCCGCGTCCGATGCGCGAAGGCCATGGGGCCAGGAAAAACGAGCACTTAGAAGTACTAGCCTTCCCGACCCCAGCGGCGGATCTGGTCTATGGCTCCGCCGCCATCCAAGATTCGGCTGCGGAGGATAGGGAGAGCGGCGCCTCGCAATACCGACAATCCTCTCCCCCCGCAGCCCCATCACCACCGCATCAACGGTGCGGCCCCGTCTGAGTCGCGGAGGATAGGGCGAGTGGCGCATCGCCATACCAACACTCCTCTTCCTCCGCGACTCCACCTCGGCTGCAGCGGTAGAGGGTGCGGAGTCCCCACTCGCTGCAGTCCACGAGCACACATCCGAAGCGGGCTCCCCAAGCCCACTCGGAGTGGCCACCTCAGGCCGGCCCTTCACCTCGGGCCAGCCATGTGGGTTCCTCTTTGTTCACCGTGGGAGACCAAGCCACGGCTACTAAGCCCCCCGCCACGACAAGGCGGGAACCCGTTCGGGGGGGGATCAGCTATGGCTGGGGATGTCTTTCCTCAAGCCAGACCAGCATCCACATGTGGAAACCGCCATGAATCTTCGATTTGATTCAGACGATGATAAAATAGTCTCCCACAAACTAGAGCAAGTAAAGATCATATTGGAAGAGGCGGTTTCGAAAACGCGCAGTACGCTTCCCAGCATAAGCAATTGAAATCAGGCTGTCGTGAGGGCTCTTAACCTAATGCTGGTGGCCTATTTTAACCCAGCCGGGATTTTTGCGAGGTGGACAGAGGTTTTCGCCAAATTTTTCTATATGGACGTGCTATTTGACAAGGTATCGCCATCTCAGCCTGGAGAAAAAGAATCGAGGACCGTATCGTAAAGGCAAGGGCCCGTATCACCATACTGATAGGCTTAAGGTCGGTTAATAATAGACGGAGGGCTATCCACATCGTTAAAATGGCGTTTGCTAGGACAAATATCAGTTTGTCCCAGTCGAATATCACGCAGAAACTTGCGGAGCGCATAGATGACCTGAAGCAAAAATTGCTGCTTGGGGGAAGCGGATTTGACGATTTACTGAGATGTCAAAGTGGTTCAACCAAAATCGTCTCTTACGGAGTGATCAACATAAATCATCATCAATGGTATGTGGAACGGGCCCAATACCGGATCAGGTCGACACAGTGGTATTCTGGCATGGCCTATGGGTCTGACTCCGTAAGCTACAGCGAGGGCCCTTGTATGGAAGTTGTGGCGAGCCAGGGTGCAAGTATTACACACAGGGACCCCGTCATCATAAAGTTGGAAAACGTAGTTGAGGCGGTCCGTAGGGCCCCGAACTGGAAGAGTCCGGAACTCGACGGGCTGCATCACTACTGGCTGAAGGGTTTTGTGGTGTGTCACGCTGTGTTCGCCCGACAGAAGTCTCATCCAGAAGTCGCTCCCGAGCCTCTTCACTACTGGGATCACTCACTTGGCGCTAAAGATCAGGATACCACAGACCCGCGCAAATACTGCCTCAGGTGTCTACCCACCATGTACAAGACACAGTAGGTACAAAAGTGACCCAACCTTTCTATATGGATGACTTCAAGTCATTCGCCCCCAGTTGCTCTCATCTTGTGGAATTGCTGAACATAACAATATTAGATAGCAATTCTATTAGAATAGGGCTGAGGACGGATAAGTGTGCGGTCCTCCATGTTGAAAGGGGGAGGGTTGCTAACTCTGAAGGAAAAGACTTATCCATGTCCGTAAGCTTAGGGACCCTTTTCCTTGGTTTAAACATACCGATACCTGGGTATGTCACAGAATATCGGTACCGATGAGGCTGGTGTGAATAGTTTGCCACATGTTTTATGCATACCTGACCAAAATGCTTCACAGCCTTTCGATTGGCGTGAATGACACATACATATATAACCGTTGGGTAATGCCTGTCCTCATGTATGTATATACCTTTGGCATACTCAAGTGGTCTCAGACTGAACTTAACGCTCTAGATAGATAAGTCCGCACTATGATGTGACGTCCCATCGAAAGCATCATCCGAGATCGTTGGTAATGAGGCTCTGCATTCCACGAAAGCATGGTGGGTGTGGCTTTTTAAACGCACTTACCATGCATCATTGCGAAGTGTGCAGCCTCCGTAATTACTTCCAGACAAGATCTGATGAAGAGGATGATGATGATGAAGAGGATGATCCATTTTATAAGAACGTCATTTCTTGTGATAAAGGACTTACCTCTCTATCCATAAGAGCAATGGCAGGACCCGGCAGTGCATAGCATTGCCGACTGGGAGAACCTATAAAAAGAGAAGGAGCTCCACGGTACATTTTACAAGGATATTCATGAGCTTTTCGTAGACACAGTGGTCTCCCTCTACTGGCTAACTTTGGTGACCTCTTTGGGGAAACCGAGAGTTTTGTATGTGCAATACAGGATCAGGTTATTAAGACCAACAGCTATCGGAGATACATCCTAAAGTATAGCACCGTTGACATCTGCCGAGCTTGTCGCCATCCCGGAGAGTAAATTAGGCATGTAATCTCTAGATGTTCGGCGTTTTCTAACTCTGAGTACTTGCACAGCCACAACCTAGTAGCGTGGATTCTACACTAGCAGCTCACTCTGAAATACGGTCTCGTGGATCGGAAACTGCCTTATTATAAGTACTTGCCGGAAGCAGTGCTGGAAAATAACCGAGCCAGGCCCTACTGGGACTGGGCAATCATCACAGACTATTTTACTATACTATATATATGTAAGAGTATTTTACTATATTATTATATTATATATAATATGTATATTATATACTATTTTATAGTATACATATTTATATTTTAATACTATTTGTAAATAAGCCTGATATTGTCCTGATGAAGAATATTTTTTGTCGACATTACCATTCTGTATGACAAGAACCTTGTAAAAGCCGCATCAGATAAGCAAAAATATAACTGGACCCAGCTCACGAGGTGACGGACATGTGAGGTGGTCTGCCAACCATAATTATTCCTGTAGTCGTTTCTGCGAACAAGCTAATCCTAGTCGGCCGCTCGGGTCATCAGAAGTGGCTGAGACTCCGTGACGGAACACTTCAGGCACAAATGCAGAACGCGGTGCTCCTCAATACCACCCGCAACGTCCTCCTAATCCTCCGCCATTTGGTCTCCCCTGTCGAGGACATCCATCTGGTTGGGCTTTTATTTATTTATGTATTATTTGTTCATGTTAGTATATTAAATATATATTTATGTTTATTTATAATTTCTTTTTATATTATTTATATTTTATATTCAGTCCAACCAGATTAATAAATTATAATAAAGAATTATTTTTATTTCAATAAACTGTATAATTGATTCAAATAATGCCTTAATTTAAACAACAACAGGCACCTGTACTAGGATAAACTTGTATTTCAGGTGTATGTGCTAATAGATACATTAACAAATATTTTTTGTTTCTTATATAAAATGAATAACATACTAAATAATTAGAGTTATTTCGGTAAAATATATTATCATTAATTAAATTATGGTATTAATTAACTTAAAACAATCAGCAACTTTCCGTATCTTCGTATTACAAATTTTGTAACCATGTTCGAATTACTATTTTACAGTCTACCATTTGTTATGGATATATGTGAAAAATTGCATTGACCTGATTATACAGAAAATGGTCAAGGGTTGTATAA